AAATATTTTAAAGGTCATTTGAATTCGAAATTGAAAATTGAATAATTTCATATTTTTCTCCCACTTTCAAGCCATCATGGCGAGCAAGGCTGCTGCAGCAGGACTGATACCAGGCAAGGCGGTCAGTGCAGTGGGTGGTCAGCAGAACCCCAGCCTGCCCCAGATGACCAGTCCCAGTACCACCTTGACCAGCAGGGTGTCCCCATGGAGCCCCAGTATGGGCACTGGACAGGAGCTCGGGTAATGGCCTATTTCACAGGAATGGAGTTTGAAATCACTGAAGCTCAGTTTTAGTCTGGTTTGAGCTGGGTTATCCTGGTATCAGTTTCACAAAGAAAAAAAAAATTAAGTCGGGTACCCTGGCTAAAAATTCAGTTTCTAAGGTTACATGGTCACATCTTACCCTATCAGGAACAGTGTTACAGCACTCTCATGGAAATCCCAGTCAACTAAGTCCAGGAACTGACTTCAAGTTTTTTGAGAAATTGGGGCCTGGTATTGAGGGAACCAGGTTTTATCCCGGGTTTAAGTTACTACAGCGTGCCTTGTTTAAAAAAAAGTTTTGGGTAAAACTAGGACCATATGATATATGTCTTATGAGTTTTAGAAAATTTATGTAAGGGCATTTAAATTATTGCTGTTTCCATGGTGTGATTTTGACAAGGGCTGTCACAGATCTTGGGAATCATCTTGTATTAACTTATAGTGGTATTCTCCTTACAGAGCCAGCAGTTTGTTTGTGCTGCCATCTATCCATGAGAACAGCATGAACAGCCAGAGTAAAGTGTCGCCAGTGGACAGCTTCTCTCAGCCTACCACACACACCTATGGCCTGGGAGATGGTGAGTGATAGCTCTGAATTTGTTCTAAAACAAACTTGAGCAGTAGTCTCATAACTGATAAGTCTCCTGCATGTCTGCCCATCCATAAAAATAATTGTCACAACTTGCCAGATTTTCCTCATCAGGGCATAAGTTGTAAAGAATCACAAGCACCATTTTACTCAAAAACCTTTTATGACCGAGGACTACAAACTTTCCATTTCTGATAGTGAATATCACCTAATGGGGATGCATATTATATTTGCTTTTGTGGGTAGATCTGACATTCACTATTCTAGCCTGAGCCCAGCTTTAATTCTTTTGCAATCACTGTTTTTCTCAGCAGGTTCCAGCTTCCTGCAGCCGCCCTCCACCAGCGGCTCCATGTTTGGAGGCCAGGAGAACATGACCATGATGCAGAGGTTACAGCAGGAGAGACGCCAGAGACTGGCAGAGTACCAGCAGAAACTGCTGCAAGGTAACCACACATGCACGCACGCTTGTGCACGCACGCACGCACACACACACAGGCACACTAGCGACACACACATCTGCACACACACACATGCATGCACAAACACACGCACACACACCATCGACACATATCTACACACACACACATACATCTACACACACACACGTACACATTTTTGACCAGGGTTTCACTTCATTAAAAGGTGTTTGCGTGTATGTTACCAGTGGTAAACTGGGCAAGGGTATATCAGATATTTGTATAAGATGACTTAAAGATATAATGAAGAGCATTGCAATGAGGGGAATTGAATGGTATGCATCATTGTTCATGTGTTGTCTGGTGACTGTAAGGAGAACTCTGAGGGGGATAAATCCACAACTCAGTCAAGTTCTTAATACTGTCTTGTAATCTCATTAATCTCTTGAAGAAGGTTACTGCTCCTAAGTATTAAAGACCAGTAGCACTGTTTCTGGCTGTTGTTGTTAGAGACCATGATGTCATAAAAACCAAGTGCTCACCCTGACTGATGCCACTGTTTTCCAGGTGAAGACTGGCCCGGCTTTGACATCAACCCAGTCCAGGCGGAGAGTCTCTGGGACAGTACCTGTGCACCCAGTGAGACGTGGTCCCCATTGGCGGAGACCCCAGCTGGAGAGACCTGGCCCACTGTAGCAGAGTCGCCACCCAGGGTGCAAGTAAGTGTGTGTGCATGAACACAAGGGAGCTGTCCTCACCCTATTCTCTTTTACCAGTGGCCAAGTGCTTTGATTTTGCTTAAATTTTGATTAGCTGCTTTGAATTTTTGAGTCAGTTGGTAATGAAGTTGATGAAAAAATTTACAATAACATCTGATTAAAATGAAGTAGAAATTGTGAAGTGACCACATTTTGGTCCTAGTTCTCCACGTATCTCAATGATGTTTGTTGTGCTATTCCCAGGCCAGCTTGTGGAGTGACATCCCCACCACCATTTCCACCTCTGACACCAGCAGCTGGTCACCACACTCGGCACCAGGGATCTGGAGTGGTGCTGCCACCAGTGGCGACACAGGCAGTCCATCTCTTCTGAATGGTGCTGCTGGTTCCCTCCTTGGGCCTGCGGGAAGTGGCAGTGCCTCTCTATTGAGTGGCAGTGCCAACTCTCCCCTGTCAGGACTCGGCAGTGTGAACACGTCAGCTGCTGAGAATGAACAAGGGGTACAGGTTAGTAGAGGGGGGTTGAGGAACTGGCCTTGTGCGTGTGCGCGTGCGTGCATGCTTGTGCACACGCGTGCATGCACACAAGTTTGTGTACATGTCAGGGAGAGATTTGGGGGCTGCTTTCAAATTCTCCTGAATGAGTCCAATAGAAGGTAAAAAACCAATTGAGGAAAATGAAGCAGAAGGTTATTTTGAAAAGCATCAAAAAGATTTTTATAAAGGTTAATTTATGTTCCTTGATCAAAGTATCCTTGTAAAAAGCATTCTGAAAGAACTGTATTTTAACTAGTTTCAATATATCGTCAGATTTTCTGATGACTTATTTGATAATGGGCTAATGTGTGTTTTTCAGGATGTGGGCAGTTTTGATCCATTCAATACGCTGAGCAGTATCTGGGCACCAGGGGGCACCAGTGGATGGAGCTTTGGACCGAACAAGACAGAGGATGAATAAAACATCAACATGATGAAAAGGATGCAAACCTCCAAGGCACATACTGATATGGTACTAGTGTGTAGAATAAGGAAATGATTTGAAAGAAATTTGGGTTAAGATTGAAAACCGGATTCTGTGACTTTTGTTTGTCACATGAATAATAAGGTGTAAAATTTCTAGGATGCTGCTAATCAACTGTGTAGCAATTCACTACAATGAAAATATTCAATGTTTAAAAGTTAATACCACTATTTACCACATTGTTTTTGTCTTGGAGGTTTTGGAGTCATTAGTGAGAAAGATTTGAAAAGGAATAGTATTGTATTTTTCACCACAGAAATAACCTGGGCATCTTTAGTTAGTAGCTAGGTTTTGTGCACATAGCAATGATTAACCAAAAGTAAAATTTCAATGTTCAGGTTTGAATTTTCAGTGTAATGTTATATTTTTCTTGTTGTATTGGTATTGATAGCCAGTTTATTGCAATCAAGTATTCTTAGTTAAGAAGATAGTATTTATTAAGGTGACCAATAAAGTGGAAGGTTTCATTGTCTGATTTATGGGTTTGTTGATTTATGATAACAATACCTGTGAGAAGTGGTCTTTTTGTTTGATGATTATGATAACTGCTTGAAGGGCAAAGGTGGATGCATAGTGGTTAGAGGAAAAACTTCTTTCTTTGGTTGAAGTATGTTAATCCATTTGTAGAAGAAGCAATATGGTTGCCAAGTTGGACTAGACTGAGGCGAGAAAGACGAGGAATGTTCTTTCAATGTACTTAAATTTCTTTCCAATGTTGTTGAATTTTTACCTTTGTAATTTGGTACTTTATTATGGAGTGTGTAAGTTTTGTCATTAATTATATAGTTTCTAACAAATTTGTTGTGTTTGGCTTTGCGTTTTGGATGTGCCACTGTGGCTTCCCTGTGTGGTTTGATAGGCGTAATTAAAGTTACCGCCATTAATATATAGATAGGTGTTTACCTGTCATTGTTGCTTTTATTATAGTTGAAACTCTTAAATTGTTATAAGAATATTTGTTAGATTGTTCAGGTTATTTCTGTGGTGATTATTGTGTTATGGTTATTAAGGAAATCCCTCGGCAGAGCTGAGGGGTTGCGAAGCAGTTTGGCTGCGAGGTAGCGGCTAAGTTCGAACTAAATACACTGAAGCGAGGACTTTGATTTTCAGATACCGGAATTCATGTTTAGTTGTGGATGCTTTGCTTGCCTGAGAAAATTGTTTTAAAAGGGACAAAATCCCGGAAAAAAGGCAAAAAGAGGTAATATTCTTTTTTGAGGTCATATTGATGAAATATCGAGGGCCAACAAAAGATTGAAGATTGGCGCGTTTACTTTGCTCCTGTTCTTAGGGGTATTTTATTGCCAGCTACAGGTGGGGCTGAGTGATATTTTAATTTTTTAAAAAAGTGCAGCAATGCACCAAACTTGATGCTGTAGTGTCAAGGTCCTAGCAGTGTCCAGTTGGACTGGACAGTATCCTGGGTGTGTGGACATGACATCAAGGTTGTTGGGTTTACTATTTAAATGAAAAATACTTCATCCCTGATCCAGTAATGTGCTGGAACAACTGTATGACCATACAAAATAAATGTTCAGTTTTAAGCATACTTGAAAAGTACATGGTTTTGTGTGTGTTGACTTCATGCTGATCCCCTCCCCATCCACTCTCCTTAATTGGAGCACACCAAAATATTATACATATATATCGACAGCAACCATAAATAAAGTACAGCAAGATATTTGAAATAAAACATAAAACATTTAATATTAAAACAGAGACCAAAAAATGAAAAAATTACATGCTGAACAAATCGTCTTTCACATTTCAGCCTTACAGCGGCTGTTGTACTACTATTTACTATTTCAAAAAAAGGCACCGCCCCTTGCTTTGCCGGGGATTTGTAATGTCTCAAAACAATGTCCAGGTCCAAGTCTTATCGATTCCTTGAAGGCTAACAAGCAGCTGGCCAGTGTCACGGCCATTGAATTACACGTAACATGGCACTGTCCTATGATAAGCGACTGCCATCGTCGTAATAGATGCAAATCGCTGTGGTGTTACATAATGAAGATTGGCATCTCGTTCTCTTTAACATCGCTCAAAATTCGACAAGTAATCTGCATCAGTTTGTCTTTTTAAACATAATCTATACATAGTATAAATGCAAATTGTTTTCGAGCTACCTATTAAATAAAAAATAATAAAAAAATAAAAAAAACGACCTCTGGCATTTGGCACAGTATGAGCGCTTTGCTCAAAGGTGACATAATTGGGAGTGAAGCACCAGGTTTCAAAAGGCACGCCAGTCCACAGTCGTCATATAATGAAACGCTGGAAATAACCCCATGGTGGACAAATTCATATCGTATTGTGAAAAGAACTTGTGAATTTGTTTCCCATGCTTGGTATAAACTTGCAAATAACTATCAAGCTTGTGAGTTTCACCTGTCGACGCTTGGACTTCCACTGTCACACATGAGTTGACTTGCCAATGCTTTCCTTTGACTTATTTAAATTTGGGTTTGACTTTTCTAACGTTTCTATCTCTGCTTGATTGACAAACACATAACTTTCGTCTTCCTCGGCTAGGGTATACAGGTTTTCTTTATGGTAGGCCGTCATGCCATGGCCCTCTCCGCCGTCACCCTCCTGGCGACCGCCTGCGAGCTCATCTTCAGGGGTGCGAGATCTGGAAATAGGCGATTTTATGGCAGAGTTAATACCGGTATGGGCTATTTATCTGTTACTTTATGGAAGAGTTAATATGGGGGATTTATCTGTTTTTATTTATTTATTTATTTATTTATTTATTTTAAAAAGCCAAATGATCACTTCATGAGAAATACAAGATCATGTATCGACTCTGTACTATTGCACTCACTTTGTTACACCTCGTGACCGTGAATGAATCCACCAGGTGAGGCCGGCCCCTAGCACCAAGAATACGAAGAATGTCGGTAACAGCACCGCCAGCACAGTGGCCGTGGTCCGCGCGTACTGAATTTGCGCCTCGTTACTGGCTGGAAAGAAGACAACGCAAGTGGTTTTTGTGTGTTATTTTAAACATGATGAGAAATTGTTGAAATATGTCATAATTTACTAATTTCATTCATACTCATAAGTGACACAAGCAAAGTGAGCAACATTGTCGCTATTTGCACGATGGCATTTGGCCATTTTGATTTTTTGTTTTTTTAAATTCAATTTGGATTTTTGATTTTACTAAACTGTTAAAGTGGGCACTGCTCTTTCTCAAATACGATGCTCCCGAGACGATTTTACTACCGTAGGCATAATGCGCAAAATTAATATTTTCTTTCAAAGGCCTCCTATTAAAAGAGTTCTGACTTTAAACTGTGAAGTACCTTCTTGTTCTATGACGCAGGTGAGGGTGGGAAGTGGGGACCACGCCGCCGCCCCAGTGTCGTTTAAGCTGCACGTGAAAGAGACATTCTTTCCTGACAATTTATAGCCTGGCTGGCAGCCCGTCACGGCCACTTTGCCGCCAAGCAGGTAATTGTCGACTAATTTGATGGAGTTTTCAATGTCCAAAATACCGCAAGCTTGGACTGTCACAGAAAAAAGAAAGATTGGATGCTTATTAGACACACTTAAATAATTAGATGTAAGAATCCGATTCCAAGCAGTCAAATACACTGAAATAAATATAATAAAATGCGCCTCTTCAAAATAAGAAAAAACAAATATGAAGAATTAATCCGACGTTCAATTATAATTTTAATCAAGAAATATTAGGAAATATTATGTGAGATTTTGTCCTGCAACAAACTGAGAATAGGCCTATATGTTGAGTGATTATCTGATAACATGCTTGACATAATAAATCTGAGCGACAGTTGAACAATATTCACCAGGTTTTGTCCTCTCCTTCAAAATTTCATATTGCCGCGCCGCTGCCAGCGTCCCTCTTGCAATCGCCTCATCTCCTGTCACAACGTAGTCGTAGGCACACTGTTGATTACTGCCGCATAGCGTCGCCACCTCCGGTCTCCTGGAGGGAATGGCGGTAAAGTTGATGGCGGCCGGCTGAAACGCCAGATCCTGGTAGAACGCATAGCTCCGAGGTCCGTACGTAAAAAGGGAAGATTTTTCTGAAATTCGCCCTAAATATAAAAAAAGCGTTTTTATTTAAAATGTAGCAAGGGGTAGTAGCACATACTAAATAATCAATCTACTAGTATAAGATTCATTTACAGTCATTTCATACGTAGGCGTATTAGCTTAATTGCAAAACTGGAAGCATACATGGGGACGTATGGCTGGCTGCGACTACCATGAAATAGTTCCCTTTACTTAACAGCCCTGATAATCTAGTTAATGGTTATTATTGTAATATAACAACCAAAAGTCACAAATAATTCAAACAGACTAGAGAAAATAGAGAGCCAGCTAGTACAACGAAATTACATATAGTAAAGCATTTTCTTACACTGCTCGCTTGAGTTGTGAATTTGGACGGCCGAGGTGCCATTTATATCATTACTAGCGTCGTCATCCCAGCTGCCGAATAATCCTTGTGTCTGAAACTTAAAGTACAACCAAGAGTCAAATAACCTTACTCAACACCAATAGCATATTTTCACTGTCAATATAAAAGTGATGAAAACAACATACAGTACCAAAAACACCTTTTTTTGCTCATATCTTTTTAAACCGCACGCTGCGCGGATGTCATCACCACAAGGGTTGCCATAGTTACCTTGACAGATGGCGGTGCCATGACAACCACGTTAAGTAGACCTTCCAGCGCCGTTGCCTGCACCCCTATGCCACACTCAAAGTACACTGTGATGTTGGACGAACGCCGTGGGTCGTTGTTGATGACCGTCACGCCGCCTGGAATAAGACAAGATTACATATCGGCATTTCTTAAAAGTGGATGAGAAACTGAGTCGAGTTTATTGCAGAGGAAGAGGGGACATTACAGGAATTTAAAAAAAATAGCCGAAAGCCGTTTGTATTTCTCCACGCTGCAAACAACATGAAAATCATATCGTATAATTCCATTTCATATATTTGTATTATCTATAATGATTACACTATAATATATTACCTTTAAAATCCTGCGTTCTTTCACCTTTCCTTTCAAAATGCTTGACCTCGTGGTTCACCAATATGGTCAGATCTCTCTTCCAGTTGCTTCCTGGGGGATTGATTCTGACTTCTATAATATCGGACAGCGCCCCCTCCCGCATTGCTATAGATTTTATCACCGTGGCTTTGACGTCTGTAACTATGGGGAAAAACATCCCATTTTTATTTAACAGTTTTAAAACGTTTAAAATCTCATTTTATGTCACCATCTCCATCATTTGACCGCCATTTGGCTGATCGTATCAATTGTAAAAACCCAGTTTACTTGGTTTACGTGGATATACTTTTAGTAGCGAGCTGGGTGCCGAAAATTCACACTTGCATAACGACTGCAAGATATCAACCCAGTTTCGTTTCTTTAGGATGTAAATATGTAAAATATCAACCTTGACTATTTATAACAATAAAAACTAGTCTATTGCAATTATGACACACTTCGGGAAACAAGCCATGCGTATACGTATATATATACTACATAACAGATAAACAGCTTACTCACGTGTTTGGCCAAACCTTCCCTGGAGTAGGAAGTTGTGCTGCGTGTCTCGCAGTAACAAGTACTCCCCCTTCCCGTTAAATGTGTACAGTCTACCGTCCAGTGTGATAAGATGCGGGTCGCCATATACCACAGCTAAAACGGGAGGAAAAAATTAGTTGGATTGGGATAGCTCTGGATCTCTCTCTCTCTCACACACACACACTGCAACTTTGTTTTCGTACTTATATTAATTTTGCATTATATTCATATTATAACCTGGTTTGGGTGGTTTGTAGTTCTTGCAGTCCGAGGTAGGTCTCTGTTCCATGTAATAATGGCAACTATCACCCGTCCACAAACAGCAGTAGAAGAACGGGACAACATCATGAATCCAGTGAGACAAAGCGGGCACCTGGAAGTCGTGAATGGACCAATGTTAATTTGGAAAGTGATTCTTGGTTCATCGTTTAAAGTTGTCATTGTTGAGTTGCATGACACCCAAGAGAACTTGCATCAATCCCGCCTGAACATATTTTTTGTGAAATATGAGCAAGAATACGTCACAAATTGAAGTGTTCAAATGTGCAATATATGTCAAAAGAGAAATAATTTGCCACAGTATACCAGAAAGACCCTAAATTACACGAGAAAAAGTACTTGTTCACAAACGATTGTCTTATCAAAATCAAAGATTGTAGATATGGGCATTTTTCATAATGGCTTGGGTACAACTGCCCCTACCTTGGGCGGTGTTCCGTAAGGCCTGTCCCCCCAGGCATGACTCCGGTCCGGCGTGCTGCCGTTGAATGTGTCCACAGTGGTCATGAGCATACCGTCCTTTCTATAACAGCACTGGTTTCCCGCTCCCGCGGAGCTAGAAAGAAATTCACAGACAAATATAATACTGTGCCAACGCCCCTCTTAAAACATTTTGGTAATGAATTTAATATAGTTCCTAGTAAAAGTTTTGATTATTTCATCAGTGAGCTCCGTAGGAGTCCTTAAATATTCCACACATTTTAGATATGAAAAAAGCTTTACAGGTGGGATGAGCAGACATATACAGTAGACGACAACTGTTTTATTTGACAACATTAAATTTGATAACATGAAATTTCTTTGTCCCGAATTATTCTAATTTTGCTTAATCAGATGGGGTACTATGGAGAATTGAGATATCTGCTGCCTGCTTACGTGGCCTGAACCGATCTCACACAGTGGATTGCACCGACGTGGAATGCACACACGCTCCCGGTGTTCATGTCACACGCCACGTCAGCCTGCCAACGGCCGAAATCCGCCAAGGCTTGGTCCAGGGTGCACGGGCAGGCTGGGAGCTCGGACTGCCACGCCTCGTTCTTTCTGTCTGCTTTGTACCAATCCACGCACTTCTGCCGTGACCACGAGTTGCCGTAGGTGTTGAGTGCAGCATTGTAGAAGTACCACCCCAATGATATGAGCTTGCTCCATATTCTTCTGGAACACAGAATCAACCGAAAATCGTATGAGTCCTCTGCTCAAAGTTTAGAATAATTTGCAAGGGAGATATTGGATGTCAGGTAAATGTTGAGAACTAATAACATCTCAGGCCTAGTACTGAATATCATACTAAAACCAATTTGCAAAATGAAGGTACCATCTACAAAGGACCAGAGAGATTTTTCTCTAGATATTTACAATTCACAGATATTTCTTCTGGCTCATTCTGTGCACCTTTCGGTACTGTGACGTAAGCGAAATTGCGTGCTGCTTCAGAAATCGCGAGAATGAACCACTCAGAAATTATATTAAATTTGCAAAAACAAAAAAGGGGGGTTTGTTCTCTAAATTTGCAACAAAAAACGTTTAATTTCTTAATTTCACAGTATATCATCTGCCTCACCTGGGGTTTCGTGATTCCTCCCCTTCATGCTCCACTCTGGTAACAGTCACCGCCCCCATCTCGTAGTCGAGACAATCGCTCTCACCAATGCCGCACCTGTGCCACTGCGGACTGAAGCTCAAGTGTCCAGTGTTGGCAATGTTCTTCGCTAAAACCTTCAGTACTTTCCAGGTGGCCTAATAAAATGTGATTTACTGAGAAAATAAGCTGGCAACGGTAATATTAATGTGCATATGAAGAAGTCAACTAAGAAAAGGCACTGCAAAACTGGTTTCAGTGCGTGTGTAAATATATATATATCACATATATATGTATGTAAATAAACGTGCGTTATTTATTATTTACAACTTCAAGCATTTTCACATGATTATTTTGAAATGAATGTTTAATACAGATAACATGTTTCAGGGTGTCGGCATTGGCTTATATTATTTATAAATGGGCAAAACAATCCGTATTATCATATACTGTAAGCCTACACATGTATCTGTTATATAACCGAGTATACTTGATAATAGTAATTAGTAGTCCCTCACTCTTTTGCAGCTGAAATATTCATCTAAGATCATAGATAATCTAATAATTGAAATTAATCAGATTAATTACACTTTATTAATCGATTTCGAATGAATAACATGCAGTGGTGGATGGGGGGGAGGCGTGTGAGGGGGGTCTTGACCCCCCTTTTGAATTCTGTAAAAAAAAAATCACACCAATGTTAAAATTAGAATTTTGAATAATAGTTCTAAAACGTACCAAATAACACTGTTCGCCCTATAAGGGGGGGGGGGGGG